TAGTAAGACGACAATCCGAGAGGAATGAACTCATTCTGAAAAGTGATCAGAAATAAATACTTCTGAAATTTGTTAACTGGAATAGGCTACAGCTGCTTACGTGCGACTACGAATCGGTTTTGATAAATCGATAATTGATTTGGTTTCGAGCCATATTGAATTTATTTCTAGTTTCAAAGTTTCATAGAATGTTGTCCATATAATTCAGCTCGTTGCGGACTCATAAGAGCCGCTACGCGACCGCACGCGCACTTGCCCTACACCCTAATAAACTGGATTTGCATGGTAGTCGACCATTCTTCTTTTTCTTAAAAACTAAGATCACTTGCTTTCAGCAATGATGAGTTATTATTTTTAGTTATTCAGCAGTTATTATGCCCCTCGTAATACTCACATACTTTCCACCTACACAACCTATAACTTCAAACAATACCTAACGAAAGAGTACCTCCAATTTGCTCACCCGGTTGAATCTCTCGCCTTCAATTTTTATTGGTTTCACTTCGTGCTTTGCCATTTCCTTTTGGAGCTGGAATACTGCCAAACCCGCTCGTGACGTCATGTTACCGTATGCACCGGCGAGTCCCGTTGAGATGAAAACCAAACCGAGTTCGGAAATAATTTCGAGCCCGGCTGCGCCATCACCTGAAGAAGGGAGACTTCCAGAACATCAGTCTTTGAACAAACTAAAAGAGCAACAAACAAGAGCACTTCGCAACAAAATTGCCATGATTTGCTTTTCTATGTAAGAAGCGATTGAACGCAGAGGTACCGCTAACCGAAGAGTGAGGGGTCCCGGCAACATTCAATTCAACCGTCCCCTCTCAGCTAGATTTAGTTTTTATTTTATATTTATTCATTGAGGAAAACGTACAAAACGGAGAATGAGAAATTTTTGAGCATAAAAATCTGAAATCAAACAACTCAGGTGGAACAATGAGACGCCTCTAAGCCTCACGCTCAATCACTTTCGAAACCTGATAAAAGGGCAAATGCATGGCGTAATCCATAGACACCGTGACATTAGATGTAAAGAAAAAAATCTTCCTAGACAACTCACTGATGCCATCAACAACTCGGCATGGTCCAGGAGTGTGATTGTAAACCCGTTTGTTGAGATCGAGCATAAGTCTTAAAAGTAAAAAGGTCAATCGTAATTATGGTAGAAAGCAGTTAAGACTTACATAAATCTTATTACGGTACTGCATAAAAAGGCCAACACAAGCCATACGGCTACTCGATGGAGCATACCGGACAGTGAATTCGGTGGTCGAAGCATCTGAAGAGAGTTCCTTCGGTTGAACAATAAATGTGACAGAAAGCGAGCAGCCGCATTACAACACCACAATAGCAACAGTATACAAAATCAACTGGCTGGATATACAAATAATAAACAAGTTTATTAATACTGAAATCAATCGAAAAACCAACCTATAAATCAATAAGTAGAAAGGAACATATGGTAATTGTTCATCAAAGGGCACTGACTTAGTGGCGATCCCAATACTACGATTTCAAAAAAAAAAAAGTAAAATTAAAGCCAATCAAAAATAAACACGTTGATAAGAATTGTAAACATCAAGAAACAAACGTGTTTAAAGCAAAGATTGACCCATAAAAAAACCCGTAAATTTCATGGAAATAAAACAAAGTGGAAATTCGATAAAAGAAATGTTTCGATACTAGAAACGCGTCCAGAGCATAGATTCACCCAAAAAGGAAAACTCTTGAACCTTCTGTGTGATCGCTGAATTTTTTTTTAGTAAAAAAAACTCTGAATTGGAAAAATGGGAGAAATTGATCTCTTTCACCTTCTCTACATGACTTCTTATTATTCAGAGAAAGAGAGATGACTCTAGAAACTCTGAATATATGCATATATAAAGTATATATAATGAAACGATAGGAAAAAATGTATAGCTTTTTAATTCCATTTATTTAATCTATAAGATTTTTTTCATCTTCGAATTTGATTAGTCTTCATATACTGGAGACGTGCCACACACATGCATATAATTAGGATTGTGGAAAAACTAAATAAAAAAATCTCAGGATAGTCCAAAAAATCCAATCAAGACGAATAGGAACAGTTCCAGTTCGGGGACAGCGCGATTATGACCCTTCCGGACAACTTTATCTGATAGAACTACACGAACGAATGAGCTTTTCTCCAGAGCTTGTATCTAATCAAAGTGTTCAGCTCTTCCATGCGCTTCCGATGACATATAGAGATGCCAGACACTTTTTTCAACTTAGATCACTACGTTTGCTTTTATTTATTGTTTGCTGTTACTTTATTGTTTTCATGAGCCAATTTCGAGTTTACTCAATTGTATACACAAAAAAAGAAAAAGATTGGTTAAACTTAGAGTTATATTGATAGTCTAATGAAAAAATAGGGAAGCCATGCAAATGAAATGAAAGCGTATTC